TTGTGAGGAAAGGTCCTCCAAATTCATGCGGGACTAGATGTGTATACGAAATGATGTGTTGAATGCGGAATGCATTGATGTGTGTTGAAAGTTTAGCACCCTGCCACCTGTGAGGAAAGGTCCTCCGAATCTTGCTGACGTTGGTGGATCTGAGCCAAGCAGTAAACTTACAGAGACTCAATAACTTCTGTTAGTTCAATTAGTAGGTCTGGGTAATTTGTCGGAACAAATTATCAGGCGCCCCGACTCCAACAGTTTACAAGTGGGTGGGATTCAATGGAATTTTTTTCTCAAACACCAAGATGATGTGAAGTTGAGGGCCTACACAACATGGCAGGAGAAATGCATGAGTATGTCTGACTGCATTTGAATAATGAGTCAGAATGTGTGAATGCTGACTTGTATATGTAAAAGAGCTTTGAGCGATCCTAAAGACTGGAAAGCGCAATATAAATGCACTCCAATTACCATTATTCCCAAATGGAGGCCGCTAATTAAGTGTTACAAATATCTGCTCCATCCATCTATGTAATGATTGTGGATGTCTTCGAAATGTTTTTTGAAATCATTTGGTTTCAATTCATTTGAATAACTATCAATTGAACATTTATAAATGTATGTCTATCATAAAGTGTTACTCACTTTCATTATGTTTCAAGTTTTAATTTGTCTTATCTGTGGCTAATTATTTCAGAGAGCCAACCTGAAACACGAGGCAGTAAAGAATGAGGTGCACACTTTTTTTGATTTTATATAAAAATAATCACTGCTCTTGTGGTTGCTTTTCACCAATTGTCTTTTTCTGGTTACACAAAATTGGCTGTGTGTTAATTTGCATTTCTGATGTGTGTCTTCCATGCAAGGTGTTTTCCCCGCAAGGTGATAGAAGTGTTATAGATATTTGCTAGATGATGCACCTGCAAACTGCAACCATTCAAGGCTGCTCACTGGCAGGATTGATGGTAATGTTTCCGTCCAGGCACATCTCAATGATTATGTTGTTTTGCTTTTCAAAAAAGACTGCAGAGCTTGTAATTACCAACTTTATGGTGTTTAACTTCTACTACTGAAATCTATTAGCATTTCGAGCATGAATAGGTTTGTTATGCAGTCTGTAGTTTGTCTTCTTCCTTTTTAATCTAACTGCTAAACTGTGTCGTGCAACTGAGAAGAGTTTACAGCTGTCAATCACAAAGTACATATCATTTGGCCTTCAGATAATACAATCCTCCTGCAATAAATGTGTTGAATATGAGTGTCTGAAAACAAAACTTAATTTATTTCAGCTTAATAATGTTTCATGTAGCAACTGTCATGCATCAGTTGTCACAGCCAGTCACCATCTGCATAAACAGAATATTTCTGCCAATTAGAAGACAACTGGCATTTCTCCCTGCAGCTATCACTGTGAAGCCACACTACTTCCAAAAACTGAAAATATGTGAATGTTTCTTACATATAAACAGTGTTTCTCATCTATCAGAGGCCTATGAAATATAACGAAACTAGATAACATTTGAAAAAAATCCTTTCCTCACATTGCATGTTAGTCATTACTGATTGTTTTATTTTCTATCTTCGATTTAAGATGAAGAAGAGTTAAACAATTGAAATGTACATCAAGGGGCTGTTTGCTTTTACCTGCTGCAAGTATAATTCACTTGAAAAAAACAATATAATTATAGCATGACCATATGTCACAAGTGATTAAGATTGTAGAACATGTTTCCCGTACAAAGTTTATAATCTTTCTACTTACAGTATTATGCGACTTTGTTAAATACTCGATTCTGTTTGGTCAATTTGAACATTCCAAACAGACTGGTGCTAAGGAGGGGGCTCTGATCAAAGGACTACAGCATGTAGTCATATACTTCCACAAAATCAAGTCCGGACAAGCTAGTGTCAGCTGTGCACATTAAACATTAGTTTTCTCCCTCAGAAACACCACTGAACACTTTTTAAAGATTAATGTTTATATTTGTGGAGAGCACACGTTTGGATTCATGATGGCTAAACTGACCCCAGTAAAGAAAAGAAAAAGAGAATAAGAGAATAAAAAGCGGTTAAAAGACAGAAGAGGTTTCTCAACACTCTAATTTCCAACCTGACACGTTTGATTCCTGTTTTGAATAGTGTGCCATCGATGGGTTTCATTCCATTTCAAAATGCTGTTTGATGCTCGGGGTAAACTTCGCGCACTGCCACTCCAACATCCAATTACAGAGCTTGAGGACAAATCAAGGGGTTTGTCAAGCAAAGCACATGGTGTAGTCCCAAACGATAGCTGAGGATTCTGGGTAGTGTAGTGTCTTCTGCCGTCCTAAACTCTGAACAAATATTTATTTCTCCGAATCGAAGGGGACATGATCAAATAGGAATATAATTATCTTTTAAAAAACGTTAACTAAAGGGAACAATCTATTTGACACAGCTGAAGCTCTGGCCTTCCTTAAAAACGAACTAATTTAATAAAAATCACAGTTGTATTACACACAATGAACTGTTTTCGTAACTAATGCACCATAATACATTGACGAAAAATACAATTATTATGAGTACAAATAAAATAAAAAGGATCCGCCCGTGAGTTACTACAAGCTATAAAGTAGATTTTAAAAACGTTTTATAGAATAAAAGCTCACTGCTGGACGTTGTAGAAATGCGTGTGTGCACCACAACAAAGCAGCCTCATTCACTTTACATTGGGGTTGTTTGCGTGGTGCAGACACGTAAATGTAGCAAAGTTTGTGACTCCACCACGCAATGCGGTGTTAAGGAGTCGTGCATTCTGGTGAGATCAGGTTGGTCCAGCTGGAACCCTTCAGGGCTAAGCTCTATTAAGGTAACATATGACAAGGTGTCTGTTGTTGGAACAATGTTATCGTTGTGTTTGTCTGTCACACCCATGGTCACACCAAATGACATATTTTCTTTGATAGGTAACAAAAGCAATAGTGTATAGAGTGATGGAAAAAATGTCCTGATGTAGTAATGGAATTCCTTGACAAAATACTGTATTGATAATCCACAATATCATATTTTCAAAGAATATTTTTTATGAGAGGTTTCTTGTTGAGAATGCTGGTTATTTTACGTTGTTGACATAATGTGTTGTGGTAATGATGAAGGATTTTTCATTGTATTTATACTATAAGAAAACTGTTAACTTGTAGAACTTGAGTAGACCTTGAAAACAACTTCCCCTCTTTCAAACCCCCAAGTTCTGTTGCCCTTGGTTTGGACCACACCCATGTCTGAAGTCAGCTTTAATTCTGATGTCAACGACACACCTGTTGCTTTGTTTTATGACAAAACAAAGTGAGAGAGGCACACAGCAATGTTGGCAAGATGACACTAACATATATTAAGCTGTGAACAATACAAGTTGTACATGATGTTGCAGCTATATGAGATTTTGCTAGATTTATTACCAACCGCGACACACAGGCCAGACATAGTGTAGCAGGAAATACCACCAAGGCGGTTTTGAGTCTGTTGCCAGGTGATCGTATTTCTTTCTGTCTGTCTTTCTATAGACATATTTTCTCACCCTGATACAGTTACAGCTGTTCCAGATGCAGACAGGAAACTTCCCAGGTGTGTACACAAATCAAAGTTAAAGCAGAGTTCAAAGATTGTCGTCCGAGCAAGGGGGCCGTTACCAGTAATGAGAAAGGGGTCCCCGGACCCCCAACTTGACATACACTTGAATACATTAAGGTCTTCTGGAATAACAAATCAGTTACATCATACACATGTTGCCATTATTGGTATAATAAACAGCCTCAGCAGGGATTTTAGTTTCACAATAGACATCATTACTGTAACCCATTGGTTAACAGGGCATTCTTTTGAGGTTTATAGTGTGCATTACCAAGCTATGTGGGGGGTGAGGTACAATGGTACAGGTTGAGGGATCAGAAGGCTGCTGCATACTTCAGCCATGTTTTCTGAGGCTAAGTCATGTGCATGAGTAGTGATTTGGCTGTGGTCCTGAATGGTTACATAACATGTCACTTGTTAGACACTTTTATCCAAAGCAACTTGCATACTCAATACTGTTGGCAATCCCCACAGGAGCAATTTGGGGTGAAGTTTCTCAGGGACACAACGACATGCTGACTGCAGTGGGGTTTGAACCTGTGACCCCCTGATCTGAACACCAACGCACAATCCACTGCACAACACGCCTCCCTAACCTGTTGTTCACTCAACTGACTCTGAATAACATTACAAGGTTTGTTTGTACCATATTTAAATACCATCAAATAATAGAAAGGGCCCACTGGAGCCTAATGATGACAGGATTCATTGTGATCAACAATATAATTGGCTATATGTATTAAACTGGCAATGATTGATGAAACCTAAACCATAAACAAATAGTTGATTTCAAGATATTAACACGTAAAATAAAATGATATATATATATCTTGAATAATAAAGAAACAATCATACAAACATTACTGTGCAAACATTATGTACATTTCTGAGATGTATGAATCATCAATGCATAAAATACAAAATAAATAATTTTCCACGACTAACCTGGATTTTATCGCTCATGTTCCCTCTGTGCAGAGCCTCAGAGGTGCGCTCCGGTCAGCAGGCAGTACAGTGAGTGGGGGACTAATCTCACAGCTGACTGAGTCCCACAGTGGACCTGTGGACAGAGCAGTTACTCAACAGGGAGATCAACAGTCTTAAGCCATTACAAGAGGTTGCAGCATGAGGGATTAGTATCAATCCTTAGGTTTCTTTTTTTTTTAAGTCAACTGTATCACATGCAACAATGACTAGCTTCATTTACAATCATAATAGTATACCATACCCACTGCACATTAACAATATCTTACAAATGTGCCATTTACATAAACAAACAGTACTTTAAGTTTCTAGAGCTTGTATGAATCTGTAAGAAAATCTAAAATGAGTTCCATCAACATTACATTTTTTAGCAAACCAGCATCTTAGACGAAAGAATAAATGAAGCGGTGTTGGAAGAATACATTTTATTCAGACCTTACCTTACATGTGTTATTTTAATGAACTTATAAAACATAACAATAACACATGATGTGCCTTTGTTTCAAGTATCAAACATAAAAAGAATGCTTTGAATCTGTACAAGGACCACTTTAACATTGAACTGAACAACATTATGTACAGTACAACAAAATGTCTCAATGAGAGCTTATTTTAAATACAAGTTGACTACCTTAACCTTACATGGGGTGTGTTTGCAGGATCAAATGAAGCCATTTAAAAAGGAAATTCAGTTTTCGAAATGGAAAAGCACATTTTAAGACATTGTTTTTTGTCCAATACAAAAAGATGAATTAACATTTGCACAAAACTGAATACACAGATGAGGCATTATAAAAAGGTAATACTTTTTAAACGTATAACAGTACATGATGTCAAGTAATCCGGGTTTTTTCATGGAACAGAAATGAAAAAGAACAATCAAAAAAGCCAGTGTGCAATATTTACATTTTCCCAGGTAACCAAAAAAAGGTATCTGAGGCGTGAAACATAATGGATTATTGTAAAAATACTCATTAAATGAAACAAGTGATTTACCAGCTTTTGAGTTATTAATTTGTACAATTTAATATTAATTATTTGATACTGGCTTTTTCAAAATAATTTTCAGTCAATTGGAACAACTGTACATATTCAAAGTGCTTGTGTAAGTACAGCAAATATATCTTAATTTAATTACAACTGACAGCAAAAGCAACAAAAACAACTTAGTTATAAATTAATCTATAACTTAACACAACAGAAATGTAAAAAGAGCAAACCACCCGCGGGTTCCTCCTCTTTCCCAGACTCTTCACAGCTGTCACCCCTCTTCAGCATCTGTAAAAATGTCACTTAGGAAGTACTGAGAAACACTGGTGGGCTCCTCCTCTAGAGAGCTGCTCTCCATATATTCACTTGGCTGAGAAATTGAACCCTGAAAGAAAAACGATAAATTGGTGAGTTAAAAAAATGAACTGAATCAAGATGGCTCCCTATCCACCTGTGTCATCCTTACCTCAGCTGGACAAAGGGAAGTGCTAGGCCTTTGCTCTGAGCGTGGTGGGCTGTGCTCTGAAGCATGTTGCCCCGGGTTCAGACCGGGTTTTGGGGTGACTTCACATGGTGTTGAGGCTACAGCTGCCGGGGTCCATTTTTTTCCTTTTGCAAGAGGAGTTTTCACCTTAGTGCTCTTAGAAGCTGCTTTGCCAGGGTCAGAATCCTTTGCTTTTCTGCAAGTTAAATGGAGAAGATAAATTAAGTCGCATTCAAGTACAATTTATACATACAGTGGGGGAAAAAAGTATTTAGTCAGCCACCAATTGTGCAAGTTCTCCCACTTCAAAAAGATGAGAGAGGCCTGTCATTTTCATCCTAGGTATACCTCAACTATGAGAGACAGAATGAGAAAAAAATCCAGAAAATCACATTGTCTGATTTTTAAAGAATTTATTTGCAAATTATGGTGNTCACCTTAGTGCTCTTAGAAGCTGCTTTGCCAGGGTCAGAATCCTTTGCTTTTCTGCAAGTTAAATGGAGAAGATAAATTAAGTCGCATCCAAGTACAATTGATATATATCAACATGAAAACTGGAGGATTTATCCAGATCTCAACCAAGGATTTTTCTTAAAACCGTTTTTCCTCACCTATTCCGACTACTAGTCCGTGTAGTTTTTGTCTCCTGAGCCGGTGCCCTCAGGGTCCACAACATCTGTCAGAGTCTCCTTTTCCACTTCTACATGATCAGCCCTTCCTCTCTGTGGCTCAGTGTCGTCAGAAGCCTCTGGCTGCACAGAAGGCCCAGGAAGCTCTAACTGCTCCGTGGTGTCTGTTTGGATGGGGAGGGACTCAGCTTTCTTAGCAGCGGCAGTCTTGCTGGTTTGTTTCCTCTTTGTCGTTTTGGGCTTCACCTGCGGTTTGGCCGTTTCTAAGAGAATGGGGTACACGATGAAACAACATGTGCCCAATATGAGGATAGTGTATGTTATAAGTAAGTATTAAAGTAACTCATACCTCTTCTTCTAGTGCCTGTTTGTCTTTCCTTTGTCGGAGGAATTTCAGTCTCATCTTTATTCTGTCCAGTCTCTTGCACTGTAGACGGATGAACTGTAGTTCTCTCTGTTCCCATAAACACAAATAATCCACATTTACTATCAGAAATACATTTGTCATTAGTTTAAATAAATAACAGAATAAGGCAATCACCCTACCATGTGGGTCCACTTGATTCCCCTCAATTGAACCCTGTTGTGTGTGAGAAAATAAAAAGTGTGACACATACAGACATTTCATCACATTTTGGCTACAGGTGGTTCCTTGCAACTTCACTTACATCATCTGGGTCTTTCACATGTATGACGCCTGTCTCATTACTGTCCTCCATGGGCACAGGCACAGTGACATTAGGTGGAGACTGCTCTTCTGCTGTTGCCAAACTCTCTCCAGGAACACTGATGAGGAGGGAGGACAGTTGTAGAATCAAACAGAGTCACATCTACGCCTGCATGAGAGAAATGACCATCTGATAAAACAGCAGGCACTAACCTCTGTTGCTCTATTGGAGCATCTGTTACAGGAAGAGAAGGGAGGGGCTCAGGCACACTGTCCACCCCCTCCCCAGATGAGCTGACTGGGATCTCGGTCAGAGAGAGGATGAAGAACGGTTCATCTGGATCAGAAGGATCCTGAGGCAACATCACTGAGAGTGAGAGAAGTGTTAGCCACCACCATGATGCATGTACTGTACGTAATAAACATTACAATATCAACCAACGTACTGTCTGGAAATATTGTGAAGCTGGGATGACCTTGGGTCCCACCTGCACTTGATGTTGATGCATCCTGGAAATGTGAAAGCAGAGAGAACCAATCAAGGATTCATCTTTTAATCAGAGGTACTTGACCAAGATGATATTCCAACCTCATTCAAAGGTATGCCATATGATTTTGTGTAATAGTTGTATTGTTGTTGTACAGCGATCTAGTGGCTGGACTATTTAACCATTCACTTTTAGGTAACTGCTTTATAGCTACTATTTGTATTGCATTTTCAAATGCAACATCTAGTGATCAGTTGTTACAGCTGATAAAATAATTTCCTTTTGGTTCTTTAAAAAAAAATACAGAATATTTTTTTAGTATAATAAACAATTTTGTTTTTTCAAATAATTTGATCTATTCTACAATCTTTTTATACATAATTTACCAAATGCAGAAGTACCACCTAAGGTACAAGCGACTATTATTGGGATTCACTGCCATAAAATATAAACTGGGTTCAGAGACACATTGTAACAAAAATAATATTGCTCCATGTCATAAGCACGGTCAACTATCAATAAGGAATTTCAACGCAAAGATATACTGCAATCATAGTGCTCAAGATACAACTTTTCATGCATATCATTATCTCACCTGAGTACCTGAGTCAGGTACTTGTGTCGTGCAACCAGTAGACAATCCAGAAACCTCTACAAGGGGTTCATGTTGACTCAGTTGTTCAATTACTTTTGTTGAGCTTCCCAGTGAAGTATCAGCATATTTTGGAGAGGGAATTGTGTTACTACTTTGATCAATGGCGCCCTCTACTGGTTTCAGGATGTCAGGTACGACTTCAGCCACAAGTTTGGGGCAAACTGAATCATCCCCACCTTCTGAGAGAATACCAACATCTGCTGAAAAGAACCACCACAGGTGTTAAACAAATAAACTATAGGGTGATAGATTGCAGTAGTTTGAAAAGCTAAATGAGGTCAAACCTGCTTCTGCTTGTTGTGTATTCTTGACATGTTGTGGAGGCCGCCTGCTGCGTCCCAGGGTGGGTTTGGGTTTAATAAGTCGGCCTCTACGAGTCGGGGGAGCTTTTCCAGAGGGAGAGTCTGTTGGCTCTGGCTGTTTCTCATCAGGGCTGTAATTGGAAAACAACTTTTATTTTACGAGAATAACAAATCATTCCTTAATATTTAATGTAAAACAAAAGCGTGTAAATGCAACATGACAACAGTAGTTGAATATTCCGGGATATGATTCATTTCTTACCTTTTGACACTTGTTTCATTGGTTTCAGAAGATTGTTGAACTGCATCTTGACTTGGTGCCTCGGGGTCATTTTCTGTAGGTGGCTCCTGAGTGCTTTCTTTTGGATCTGGTGTGGAGTGTGTATTAGTAGATTGCATGGAGACAATTTGGGACTCTGTTGAACCATCTCCTGAAGACTGGACATCGGAAACTGTTGTTGGGCCATCCGTTGGTTGTGTAATTGTCTTTGTAGCTTTAAAGAACATGTCCTGTTTGCACTCACTTTGCAAACCAGGTCCTGCGTCATCATTATCAGAAGGCTGTTGTTCTGTGGTTAAAGAGGTTTTCATATGACACTGCTCTGCTGGTTTACAGATATCATTTGACTGCAGTTTTGAGCGTGTAGTTCTAAGAGATGATCCCAAATTGGGTTTGGGTTTGACCTTTGGAAAGCGTTGCCTTCTTTGTGAAACACTTTGTTCAGAGCCCTCTGAGCTTGACTCTAGCTCACATGCAACATTTTTGTTTTGTTCTATGGTTTTAGGAGTGGAGTCTAATTCCAATGATTGTACTGATACTGACGCAGTGCTATGGCTAGGTTGTTCAGAAGGGATGGTACTGCAAGATGGCTGTGCCTCTACCTCTGCTGTTGTCTTGTCAGGTAAATTAGGTCTTGAAGTTGGGCTGGAGCATGTCTCTGCCTGAGGCATGGGTAGGAATGGGTCTTTAGTGACTTGAGGCTTTGACTGCGCAGTTCTCGACATCTGTGATAAGTTGGATCTGCGTTTGACTTGATGTAAACATATTCTAATAGTCTTACAAGAAGATTTGACTTCACTCGCTTCTTTCTGACTGACAGGTAACTCTATTACTGGTGTAACAGATGAAGCAGATTCTTCAGTTGACTCAGATGCAGGCTTTGTGTCTCTGGTTTCCTGTCCCCTACTGGGTTCAAACTGGGCCTCAGAGAGGTTCATGGTTTCTGAGGCACTCTGTTGTGTTGTTGTTGAGCCTGATACAACTTCAAGGTCTGTCTCTTTCTCCACAGTTGTAAACAGTTCCTCTGTAGGTTTAAGAGTTATCCCGAAATCCAATGAAGGTATACAATCTGAAGAAGGGCCAGGACTGTGACTTGGTTTTTCAGAAGGAGAGGTGGTGCAAGTTGGCTCCGCTTCAACCTCTGCTATTGTTTTTTCATGGAATCTGGTAGTTGGAGTCAAGTCCGAGTCTTTCTCTATGTTGTCTTTTGAAGTTTGGCCTTTAGAACGTACAGTCCTTGATGTCTGTGCTAGGTTGAGATTGGGTTTGATTTTCTGGAATCGACTTTTCCTTGCCCGACTTGTAGATTTGACTTCACTCCCTTCTTTCTCACCGACAGGTAACTTTTCAACAGGTGTCACACATGTAGCAGGATGGTCTTTGCTCTCTTGGACAGAGCCTTTGATGGACCCTTGTCCAAGCTGCAAGTCTGTGGCTGCTGCGTTAGATTTCAGTGGATTATTACATCTACTCTCAGATTTCACATCTGACATCAGAACTTCATCTGTCAACTCTGGAACATCACTTTGAATTTGTTTTTCAGTTGAGGTGGTGAAAGTTGGCTCTGCTATTATTTTTTCATGGAATTTGGTAACTGGAGTTGAGTATGAGTCTTTCTCTATGGTGTCTTTTGAGGTTTGAGCTTTAGAATGTATGGACCTTGATGTCTGTGTTAGGTTGGGATTGACTTTCTGGAATCGACTTTTCCTTGTTTGAGTTGCAGATTTGACTTCACTCTCTTCTTTCTCTCTGGCAGGTAACTCTTCTAAAGGTTTAACACATGAAGCAGGATAGTTGCTTTTTGATCCTTGTCCAATCTGCATTTCAGCGACAACTGTGTCAGATGTCAGTGGATTATTACAACTCATCTCAGATGTCCCAACATGAGACATCTTATCTTCATCTGTTGACCCATATGTTGGCCTTGTGTCTCTCCTGTCTGGTTCCCTTCTGATTTCAAACTGGGCTTCAGAGATGTCCTTGTTTTCTGACGCACGTCGCTGTGATGTTTTTGCACCTGATACACCTGAGAGTTCTTCTGTCAGAATAGGAGTAGAGGCTAAATCTACTGACGGTTTCATATCCAAAGCAGGACTAGGACAAGGGGCTTGAGAAAGGTCAGGAGCATCCGATGGGCTTTCTTCAGCTGCCCTTACTGTTGATGTTGCCGGTTGTGATTTTGACTGAGCAGTCCTTGAAGCTTGGCCTAGGTTAGGTTTTGGTTTCACCTTGGATAATCGTGCTCTCCTGGTCGGTGGAGAATCTGTCTTTGAGGTTAATTGAGAGATTGGATCCATATCAGAACCTGTCCTCTGATCACTGGATTCAAGAATGGGGACGTCATTATTGTCAATAATGTTTTGTAGCTCCACTGTGGTAACAGTTTCGGACGTTTCTGTGACTTCATTAACAGAAGTTGCAGACACAACAGGAGTGGCACGGTTTTCCTTTACTGCATCAATCTTTGTGGCAACCTCTTCTTCTAGCTGTTCTCTGGTTTCATTCAAACTGTCTGATGTTGTCCCTGTAATTAAACATTGTGGCACATTTTAAATTATTGTGATTTAATCTTAATAGAATGCAATATAAAGAACCTCATGTCTGCTTTGTCTCTTACCTGTTAATTGATCTTCTATGGCTATTTGATTCTGTGCTGACTGTGAGAGGTGAGCCAGGTTCCCAATTGTCAACAGGGTTTGAGCAGCCTCATTGTAGCTCTCGTCCTCAGATACTTAAACAAAATAGGGCACCAACACATGTATGAGACTTTGACTTCTTAATATAAAATATTAATGTTTGCCACTGGGAACTACTCAGAATACCTCTTCAACCTACCTTCTGCATGGTCTATAGAAAGGAAGTCAATAACATCCTGCAAGGGAGACAAAAGAGTTGTCAGTCACATCAAAAGCTTTCCAAATAAGCCAGACTAGTTGTGAAAGGATGTGATGTATATAAAAACATGTATTATAGTAGCCCCAGTCTACATCATCTCTGTCAATTGATTACATCCGGACACCAAAATATTTCGTTGAGGTGATCCAGCTTTTGCAACATAGTTGAAACTTGAATGTCTTGCTTTTTCATTGAAACATTTACCAAAACTAACTTTGATGCCAACATAAGTGTTTGATCCAGGCATCCAAGTTGTATTGTATGTATGTAACATAAATACAATAAAACAAAAAAAAGGAGATTTTCAAATATAATGAGGTTGCATTTAATCAATGTTGACCCTTAATAACTAATCAAATTATGCTGATTGATTCAAATGACGTGTTTTTAAGATTAGATTTTAGAATCATAAGTGCATCTCAGGATAATGATTTAATTTGACTGGCATTACATTTGAGTTATAAGACACTTACAACGAGCAGGTCCAGCTGATGTTCGCAGGGTTCAGCTGTGCCTGTTTCTTTTTGTGCCCACTCCCAAGAGTCATCAGGGCAGAGTGCATTTTGGGAGATGCCCAACACATCAGGCATAGTGGCCAAGATATCAAGCTATATGTGGGATGGGGGGAGTCAGATTGGAGGGTTTGAATTATGGAATGAAAAACCATGCATAAAGAAAAACACAAAGATGCTAGTTATGTATGAAACAAAATGAATGGAGTGTGCTTCTGTGCAAGACATGATAGTAAACCGTTTTTCATACTTCCTCCATTGTCTCTTCCACTTCTGAAATGACAGGATGTGGGGAGCGCAGAATGGCCGGCACAAATACGGGGGCAGAGCTGTCCCTACTTGGACTGCATGCAACGTGCTGCTCCTCCTCCAACTCTTCTTCCTCTCGCTGCTTTTCATCCTCCTCATCACTGTATTCTGACTGAGAAGCCCTTAGGGTGACTAATTTAGGCTTTTTGGACTCTTGGGATGATTGCTGCTTTGATGATCTTCCCCTCTTGGCTGTGGATTTGGGTTTAGGCCTGGCAGCAGAAGCAGTGGACGCATCTGGCGAGGCAGGACTGGTTTCAGATGCAGCCTCCTTGGCAGAGTAATTCAAGGGCTTGGTGGGTTTAGGCACTCTTCCATACCTATCAAATGCAATTACACACTGATGAGCTGCTTATGTTTTATTATATCCTAGTATTTTCTTTGGAAATAGTGTTGTTTCTGCATACCATGTAAGAAATCTGAAAATACAGCAGAGATATTGTACCTGGTAGGTTTTGGAGGTTGAACGGTTGCTTCCTCCTCTTCAGATGAATGACCATTATTGGCTGACTTACTATTTTGGTCTTGCCTTGAAGGTGATGCATCTTTTTTTACCTAAAAAGGTTAGCATAACTTTCAGTGAGCCAAAGTCACAGTATGAAGAAATATCTGATGACTCTCAGGTGAAAAGGAAAATGTAACAACCTGCTCTGTGGATGCTCCATCAATCAGACTCTCCTCTCCTTTATCTGATGCATCATCGTTGGTCGTGGAGGGAGGTGGGGGCTTTTTACCCCTCTTTCGGCCCAACGGCAGCAGTGGTTTTGGTGCTCTACCTCGTGAAAGTTTGGCTGGCTTGATCGTGCCATCCTTGGCTCCCTCAGTCTTTTCAGACCTGAATATTAGGGCAGAACATGGACTTTAATGCCAACTGAACATGCAGAATACTCTCTTTGAAACAATATTTGAAGTTGTATTACATGTCTGATTTTTGACAGTCCTCAGGAAGTGCTGCCTCTTTGTCTCCAGGTATAAAGGCCTCATCTGAGCATATGAAAGAAAAAGAAGAAATCCGAAGAAACATTTCAATTTCTGTGCCGATACAACAATCAGGGTTCATACACTTTTTCACCAATGATTTTCAATGACTTCTCCATGACCTTTACCTACTTTTCCATGACCAAAGAAATTACTCTTTCTCAGCGGTACCACTGAAAATGGTTTATTTTAACATGGAACAGGAAAATAAGGTCTGCATATGAAACATGTTGTGCTTATCTAAAACAAATCAAATAGGCTTACTAGCTTCTAGACGCTAAAGCAACTACAATCTCTCATCAGCAAAACACCTCGTCAGTTAAATGCCATTTTACGTTTCATTACTATACAATACAGTATTTATTATCATTATAGTATTATTATTTCGACGATTAGATAAAATATAGAATGATATTTGATGCAACTTTAGTTA